CCCGCCGGCCTCGCCGCGCTGGCTGGGCCAGCTCACCTCGCGCGACGGCGACGACGGCCGCGAGTGCCCGGAAGCCCAGGCTCGCGCTGGGGGGCGGGACCGGGCGGTGCTCGGGCGGGTGTGGTACGTGGGCTTGGAGGGGGCCGGTTCCGCCGTAGGAGCCCGGCCACTCACTGGCTGAGCTTGGAGAAGTCGTTGAAGACTCCGGGACCTTTTTTTGGGAAATGACATACAGCCTTTGAGAGTTGAAGTGGGGGGAAAAAAAATCCCGGGAAAATGTTCATAAAGAGCCGGGTACAGCCCCAAGAGAGTAAAGGCCTGAAAAAAGGTTGTTAGGCCCCGAACGGGAGTAAGGAAGGCTACACAGCAGGTGCAGTTCCGTTTCCAGCTTTGGGAGTTCATCCCGATAGATGTTTACTTGTGTTCTCCAGGGTGAGCAACCTTTTTTAGACTCGTTTTTGTATGCCTCGGCGGTAGTGAGAGACGTTAGTGGACTAATGGCCATGATTCAGTAGAAGTATCCCGTTCATTCTAGCAAGCCTGGCCACTTCTTCGTTCTCATGGATGTCTGAGCCTAAGTCAGTGTTGCTCTCCTCTTCCCCTCCTCCTCCTCTAAGTCTCCCCACTTGCTTCTGATCTGTGCATTACATCCGGACGTCACTTAGTCATCTCATGTCTGTCTGCCTCCTGCTGCATTCCAAGTGCTGGCTGATCTCCAAGTCCCGTCTTCAGTTCTCTGCTGTTGTTGCCTCAGTGTCTCCTCACCTGCCGGCTCATCTGATAATGTCAGTGACTACCTCTCTTGGGATGACACAGCCCCCAGCAGAAAGAATGGCCTCCATTTGAGCTCCAGTCTTTAGGCCGCACTATTCTCTGGACTGAGGGCATCTCTCCCTCTGTGAGCCGCTGAGTTTCCATTGTCAGTGGCAACACTGCTCTCCCAGTCTCTTGCCCTCCGTCATCTCTAACTCCTCTCTCCAATGCTGAGTCCAAGGCCTGAGCATCCCTTGTAGATTTCTTTATGGAACCTCCCCTTGACGTTGTCATCATTCTAAACTAGACCTTCATTTCATATTGCAGATATTAGTTAACACTGAAGGAGCGCTGATGTCAAGCCCCTTGTTGAGCACTTCACACACATCATGGCATCATTACTTCCCTACAACTAGTGTGGTAGTTTCCATTATGTTCTCCAGTTTGCTCGAGGCCAGAGAGAGTAAGTAACTTGCCCAAGTTCACACAAGCAGAGTCAAAGCCAGCTCTGTCCGTCTGTCCAGCTGGTGCTGTTAAACACTAAAATCATTCAGGAAGACACCCCGGGCGTGAGGCCAGAAGATGTGGGTTCAAAACTTGGCCTTACTACTTATTGGTCATGCAATTTGGGGCAATTCTCTGAGCTTCACTTTCTTGCTTTGGGTTACTGTGAAGGTGATGACAATGTCAAGGGGAGGCTCCATAAAGGAATTTATGATGGAATGCAGGTGAAAATGCTTTGTGAATTCAAAGTATCTCCAGTAAGCCTTGCTTTCAAGGATATAAATTTGTGGATTAGGGAAAATGGAATGGGGAGAGGCTGGCAAAAATGTACAAACTTCCAGTTATAAGATGAATGAGGTCTAATGTATAACATGATGACTATAGTTAATAATACTGTATTGTATAGTTGAAAATTGCTAAGAGTGGAACTTAAGTGTTCTCATATATAAAATTGAGGTGATGAATGTGTTAATTGTGGTAATTCTTTCACAATGTATATGCGTGTCAAGTCATCACGTGTACACTTTAAATATATTACAGTGTTGTCAGTTATACCCCCAATAAAGCTGAAAAAAAAAAAGCTATAAAGCACAAGAAAGCATGCTTTGTCAGTAGACAGGCAGGACATAAAGTGGTCTAGTGACAATCGGAACAATTTCAATGGCAGCACCATTTTCCGTTGATCAAGTGGATCTTCAGCCTTTGCACTAGAGAAAGGCTTCGCACTGACCTGCAGGGAAAGGAGGAGGGCTGCTGAGGTGTGGGGCTGACAGACAGACTTTGTTATATAACACAGTGCAGGTTGCTGTTAGAAAAAAAAAAGTCATTGATAACACAGGCATTTTTTCTTAAATACCAGTCCACTTAAGAATCATTTAATGTTTAAGACTTAAGAATCTTATGTTTATTCTGTAAGAACTGAACAGATTTTCCTGTGTAAACCGGAAGATGAGTTAAATTTAGATAACTATTCAAATTCACATTAGAATAGCACTGGTGGGGGACCTGGATGGCTCAGTCGGAAGAGCATGTGACTTGATCTCGGGGTCGTGAGTTCGAGCCCCACGTTGGGTGTAGAGATTACTTAAAAAAAAAAAAAACTTGCAAAAGAAAAGAATAGTACTACTTAATTTTATCTGTTTATGAATATACATCCTTATGTCTCCTTTATAAATAGTAATACAAACTGTGCTGTTCTTTAAAAAAAAATAACATTGCCAGAATTGAAGCATGCATTCTTAGAACATCCAAACTTAGAATATTCTATCATTATCTTTCTTAGAAGTTGCATTTAAAAACTCTGATTTCCTCCTTTCTACTCTGGTCCCTCCCTCTCTTCCTTTCTTTTTAGTTCATTAAGTTCAACAGTATAGCACTGCACTCACTTCATCCTTTATAGCTCTAATATTGTAGAGGAAGTTACAGAAAAAATAAAATGTTCTTTGTAGGTAATTTCCTCTGGCCAGCCACTAGGGTCCCAGCAGTGAGAACCTTGGGGTGCAGTAAAGACCAGCTGGAGCGGACAGGAGACAAAATTATCTAGAGTAAGGGTCAGCAAACTCAGTAACTTAAGGCTTTTCAGGCCTTATGTCCTCTTTTGCAACGACTCTGCTGATGTAGAATGAAAGCATGTATAGACAACATGTAAACGAGTGAGCATGGCTGTGTTCCAATAAAACTATCGTGGAAACTGAATTAGAATTTTATAGAATTTTCATGTGTCATAAAATCTTTTTCTTTCATGGATTTTTTTCCCCCAGCCACTTAAGAATGTAAAAACCATTCTTACTGAGCTCATGGGCTGTATGTATAAAACCTGCCAGTGGGCCAGATTTAGCCCCTGGGCTGTAGTTTGCTGATTCCTGGACTAGAGAATTAAAATGCTATTAATTATTCTTGCTGGGTATTCTTTGATAGGGAGGGGAATGACGTGGGAAATAATAGTAATCAGCAATTATTGAATGCTCGCGTTTAGCAAGCATTATTCTAAGCACTATATGAACATCGACTCATTTAATCCTTACAATTCTAGAAGGTAGGTAAGTAGTATTATCCCTATTTTACAGATGGGGAATCTGAGGCAGAGAGAGAGGAGAGAACTTGTCATTCTTCAGACAGCTAATAGATGCAGAGCCTGCATAGCATATCTCACCAAGTTGGGTTGAGCACCCTCAATCTGAGCCGTTATGCTCTATGGCCTTTCTGGGTAAACTTTCTCACATCTTACTGTGAAGACATATTTTCACAGGCGTCCACATGGAGGATCTTTGTCCTGCCAGCTCCATTAAGCATTTGAACAAAAAGTTACAGAATGTTCAAACTAATGTTTCCATTTGGAGGCAAGGGGACAGATGGTATTGTCATATTTAGTAAGGAAGTCACTGTCACCAAAGGTGTTTGAGCAGAGATGGGATGACTTTTGTACTCTTGTAGTTCCTTAGAAAGACTTTGGTTATTTTCTATAAAATATGTAAAAGTAAAAATTTAAAGTCCTTGCTTTTTGAAATTTAAATCTGGCTAATTAGTAAAGGAGCAAACAGCCTAAAAACCTCCCCATAGCCCACTCAGGCACAATCTCATTACATTTACAGGATCTGGGAGTCTGAATGTCCAGAGCTTCTGTTAGGAAATTATATTTCAAATCGCTTTGGCCTATTGCTATGAGAACTGAGTAAATCTCCCTTGACCTCATCCCCACCACCACACACACATATACATGCATGTGTGGGCGTACACACACCATTCTTCCCACCTATACCCTTTCTTCTTAACTGAAACATACTTTAAAGCAGTGTTAGAGAAGAATGATTTGATTATTAAATATATTTATTCAAGAAAATATTAATATGGAAAGATAGGTCTCTGGGATAAATATGATAAAAGCAAGTATACATGTTGTGCTCCCATGTATGAAAAAAATACTGGGGGCGCCTGGGTGGCTCAGTCGTTAAGCATCTGCCTTCGGCTCAGGTCATGATCCCAGGGTCCTGGGATCCAGTCCCACATTGGGCTCCCTGCTTGGCGGGAAGCCTGCTTCTCCCTCTCTGATTCCCCCTGCTTGTGCTCCCTCTCTCGCTGTGTCTCTGTCAAATAAATAAATTTTAAAAATCTTAAAAAAAACAAAAAACAAAAATGCCAATACCTAAATGTATTCTTCAATTTTACATCTGCTTCCTTATGTCGAATCCTCTACCTAAGCCTGAAACTTTCTTTACTTGAATCTTCTTTGACTACATCAATAGCTGCAAGCATCTTTCAAAGTAACTTCCTTCAGGACTTGCCTTACACCTCTAATAATGATAGAATAATAAATTAATCAATTTTGCTACTACATGTCTGATGATTGTTAGTGGGTGTAGTGGGTTGAATGGTGGCCTCCCAAAAGATATGTCCATGTCCTTATCCTCAAAAACTGTGAATACTACCTTAATAGCAAAAGAGTGACTACTACCTTATATGGCAAAGATGTAATGAAGGCTCTTGAGGAAAGCTTACCTGGGATTATCCTGACGGGTCTTCAAATCAATCAGAGGTACCCTTAGAAGAGAGAAGCAGAGGGACTTTTGAGAGAGAAGAGGAGGAAGCAATGTGACCACGGAGGCAGAAGTTGGAGTGACATGAAGCCAGAAGCTGCCAGAAGCTAGAAGAGGCAAGGAAATGATTAGAGACTTTGGAGGGAGTGAGTCCTGCTGACACCTTGATTTCAGACTTCTGGCCCCTGTAACTGTGAGAGAATACATTTTTCTTGTTTTAAGCCACCCAGTTTCTGGTAACTTGTTACAGCAGCCCTGGGAAATGAATACAGTGGGGAAGAAAGTACAATTCATAGTTAATGTCAGTTGTTTGGATTCCATAAATGTATTCATGTTTCTTCTGGCTCAAATAATACCATAAGTTGATTGTATTGAGGTAGTTAATTCTTTTGTAGACATTTCAGTTATTACTACTGAATCTATGACATAGTGAGATTACTGTCAGTGAAAAGATTAGAGGCTAGATAAACACGTAGCCGATACTAATTAAAGGAATTCTTGCGTTGGATGGAGATTGTCTTAGATGATCTGATCCCTTCAACTCAAGAATACATTTCCGTGAAAAATCTTCCAAATATTGAGGTTTAACATTTTAAGGCTAACATTAGAATAGCCAAACATTTAGAAAATGCATTCACCTGGAAAAGGTGTTTGAAAGTATAAGGTACTCAGGACTTACCTTCTATAAACTTTCCATACCAGGACTTAAGGAATACCAGAGGCCACTGAAAATTCATTAGTGGAAAAAATGAGTAAAATAACTCATGTGCTTTCCCAAAAACCACCAGTTAGGACTTACCCATGCCAACATTTCCAAAAGTATTTGCATGTTGCTGTACAAAATGCTCTGCCAATACAGACAGTGCTTTGATCTCTCCCTTTGTTCTACCCTATTTTAGAGGTTACACAGTTCCTTATATTGTTAAACTGCCACCATATAAATGGCTCACTGTTGAGTGGTGGGGTTATACGGGAGGCAATTTTCTTCACTATCACTATATTCTTTTTTTTTTTTTTTTTTTTGGTTAAGAGAAAATGAGAAAGCAGGAGGCCCAGAGGCAGACAAAAGTTTTATTTAATGTATAGAGAATAAAATCATGCTGGAGACCTTTTTACTCTAAAATATATTTTATGTATGTATTTGATGTCTCTCATGTTGAAAAGCAACATTTAAAATATCCATTAAAATATGTATTAGTATTGAATACATGTAAGAATAGCAGTAGCTGCTCTAAAACCTACTGGTGTTTCACAAAAGTTGTTTATAAATTCCAAAATATTTTGTAAGACATTTTTATTACAGAAAACATTTTATCATACCATTACAGAAAAGTCTGGCCGGGAATTAGAGTATACGTAGAGCAGATGTTAATTGACCATGCCCAGTATTTCTGAGATAGTGGCAGGACTTTCTTTTCCTCTGCAAATTACCCTAAACATACTTAGAACCTTCGCAGGGCGCCAAAGAGTTGCCAAGTTCATACTTGACCTAGCCTGGATATTAAGGTGGTTATTTAGCTCATCAATAATAGCATCGATGAGATCAAGGTCACAAGTCTGTTGGTTGTATGAACCAGTGTCATTTTTGTTCCAGAACTACAGCTGCATTTTTAGTCTCAGCTAGTTTTATTGCAAATATAGGTCATCTCAAGAAGGCCTAGAGGAAAGACTTCAAACTCATCACAACTACTTGTGGGAGAAAAAGAGACCATCAAAACACTCATTCGTTTATAGAATTGTCTTTATAGAACCAAGATTATTGTTAGATGAAGAGCTGGGGGTACGATGGACACAAAAGTCAAGAAAGTCACAACTGAAAATATCAGCATAAAGCACTGAAAAATGGGTGGTTTCAAATGCAAACTGGAAAGCTGTGGAAATTCTCAAGAATCTCTAAGAAAGCCCTACCACCAATCTCAAAAGCTCACTGAGAAGCTGCTGGGACTCACTGTCTACCCATATGCCTGGTGGCAACTGCCTTCCGTAGGTAGAATGTACTTCTCTGGCCCAGTGTTAGGCTTGCCCCATGTGAATGGCTTTTTGCCAATGGAGTATGAGCAATTTGACTTATGCCACATCCAAGCAGGAGCTTTAAGCCCCCTCCAGGTGCTTGCATGGTATGGTTTGGTGCTTGCTTCTGCCCTTTACCATGAGAATAGTATTATGTCCCAGGCAGGAGCTAGTCCATCAGCCTCATGCCAGAATAAGACGATGTGTGGAGCAGAGCTAAATCTAGCAAGTTAACCTGAGTGGAGCAGAGCTGCACCTGATCCCCAGACCTAGAAACAAGAAATAAAGGTTTGTCATAAGCCATTGAGATTTTGCAGTTGTGTTTATATTAGTCTACCCCCAGGGAATACTACACAATATTTTATATATTCATCTTCTTTATATATTATTCCTTTCTATATCTGTCTTTAAGATTCTTTTATGTTGAATTAAAGACCAAATTTCTAACTCCAGTTCAATTTCTTTTTATTAAAGTGCTTTCAGTAGATAAAGTGTTATCAACAACACAAACTTTACTGAAGTATTCACAAATAAAAATCCTTTATAAATCACTCAAATAATGTCCTTCTAAGTAGTAACAGTAATCACCATTGGAGGTTGGTTAATCTGAATTTATTCCTAACCACACACATGGGTTCTCAAATTGGAAGATTCAAATCAGTTACTTTAACATATGGGGCTGGCTGTCAATACCTGAATGCTATCCCAGCAAGTCAGCAAAAAAACGCTGTGATTTGAAACTAATCACTTTTCTTGGTATCTCAGTTTCTCCATCTGCACTGAGAATTAATCTTCCCTTAAGAGAAGACTTGTAAAAAAGTATGAAATGTTAAAGCTTAGCATACTTCTATGCCTCAGAAAGCATTCATGTGCATATTTTTAAAAGGGCAACTTATTTGTTCTTGACACAAATTAAATACTACATGGCTTTAAGAGAAATAGATTGATGACTGCTCTTTCCTTGAAAATTGTCTTTTCAGTTAAACCACATTAAAATAGATTAATAGGGTTCATAGATATGCTCAGTGAATTACTTTGATTGCAGCGAGGACAGCTGTCCTACTCAGGTAAAATTTACAAATTATTTTAAGAAGTGTCATCCATTACATACTTATATTCTTCATTACCTTTCCATAAAAACAGAAGTCCTGCTACCTTAAAGCTCAAAAAGGTAAAATCCAAGCTTTAGTTCGAGTTCCGGTCTAGTTCCTTTGGATATCATTAATAACTGTACCGTGACTTCCAAATGAACTGTGGTTGACAGAGTAAGCCATTTTTTACTAGACCTCCTGGCACAATTAAAGTGGCCTGGTGCTATCATAAAAAAGATTCAGTAGTGTCTATGCCAGGGGGGAGGGCACTTAAAATAAAAAAGCTTGAAAATATAGATGACATAATTGTGGGGGCAGAAGAGAAATAAAATGATCCTGATTGAATCAGAAGCTTTTCTAAAAACCTTGTTTCTGTTGAGAAGTATGTGATTTTTTTTTAAAGATTTATTTATTTATTAGAGAGACAGAGTATGTATGGAGTAGGGGGAGGGACAGAGGAAGAGAGAGAGAGAATCTCAAGCAGACTCCCCAGTGAGCGCAGAGCCCAGCAGGATGTGGGGACGCAGATCCAGCTCATGACCCTGAGATCATGACCCAAGTCAAAATCAAGAGTCAGACGCTTAACTGACAAATAAGTGATTCTGCTGTAAAAGAAGTTTAAAGAGGTTGATACATCAACCCCTGTATTTTCAAAGAAGTGTGCAATACTTTTAGGTAGGAACAGTATATTGCTAAATCTCCATACGACACTTTGAAAGTACTTGCAGTAAAAAGGGAAAAAAAATCATTGATCAACATAGAAAAATGGTAAGCTGTGATGCTCTTGCTATTCAATTAAAAAATAAATCGATCATGAGCACAAATGGACATAGCCATCTCAATAAATAAAACCTCCTGTAGTTACTTGTCATTTAAAAAATGAATTGGATGAAAAGGATAATTTTTTACAGTGTACTCAGTCATTTGAAGACTGAAGTAGTTTCAGAAAAACATGAAGCATCCTTAGAGGAGGCCTATTTCAGACTGGCTGTGGCAGAGCACTGCAAGCCCTATACACAATACACAGAGAAATAATTCTCAGACTGAACATAGATCTCTTCAGGAGTAGAGAAGAAAACACTTTACACAATATACCTTACTATAACATATGCAGTATTTAGGTAATGGTAAAATCATCATCCTTTACAAAGAAGGTGCAGGTGCTCTAAAATCATCTTTGAGCTAATAATTTTAGAAAGAGGTGTCAAAATTTTTAATTTAAAATACAGACTTAATTTCAAAGATGGCTTTGCCAAACCTCTTTTAAGTCCTAGGAATCCAGGGTAAGCAAGAAGGAAATGTTCTCCCTATTTTATGACTTGTCTCTCCCATTACCTATGATGAATGTCATGGGTCAAATGCCATAATAAACTTATTCTCACTCTTGCGGTCAGCAAAGGCTAGCCTGGTTCTGGGCAAGACTAAAGCAGGGAGCAGTCCCACAAAAGAGCCTGTCCAGGACTGATCCAGTAGATTTTCAAGGCCAACTGGGCACCCAACTGACCCCAGTGCAAGCTGACCAATTTGTTGTGACTCAGGATCCTAGCCTTGCACTATCACCAGGCCCAAAGCCCCCAGAATGGCCCTGCACTACACTGGACGTCCTTGGGCTAGGCCTGCTTTCCCCTGGACAAGCACTCCCAGACCTGGAAACAAAGGCTGAATGGGCAGGGTAGGCAGAGCACCATTTATTGGAGCCAAACCCCATCTATCAGATGTTTTGTTGTTAAGAGCTCAGTCAGTAATTCTGGAGCAGCTCCTCCCAACAGATGGGCTGTGAAAACACCTCTCTCTCCAGCCAGAGCTCATATGAATAGTGGAAATCCTCAGGCAGATCCAACCTCTGCCCCAGCACACTCTGCAAGCAGTTATCCACGGGTGAAAATTCAGAGTCCTGGGGTTTGTCATACCGGCGGCTGTTAAAAGCCTCAATGTTGGCCCTCAAGGTGCATTCTTCTGCTTGGAAGTCCCAAGGCCTGGCATCGATGTCTGTGTTGGGAAGAGAGGAAGAAGAACATGTATACAACTCAGGACTCTGCTCCTCTTACCACAGAGTATGGTCTATGGGATAAGAACAATGAAACTGCTCAGAATTTCCTTTTTGTGGAGGGCAATGTACAAAGTAAGTGTATAATATGCTGTCACTTCAGTTTAAAAAATACACTTGTATATGCAGAGACTATCTTTGGAAAGGTAGTCTAGAAACTGCTAACAGTGATTACTACTGAGAAGGAAATAAGGCCCCTGAGGGAGGTGGACTTCTTTTTTTTTTATTGTACTTCCTTTTCATTATTTCACTTTCTTACTAGTTATATGTTATTATGTTTTTCAAAATGGCAACTCAATTCCTTTTATTGAGCTTTCCTAGGGTAGGGGAGTTACCCATTTGAATGGAATCACGAGCTCTCAAGGAATGGAAAGAGGCAAGAAGAGGTACAACAAGGAGAATCAGAATGGACCAATTACTGAAGACTTTACTGATTCCCTGTGACCTCTCCCAGCATATGATAAATGTATGTGTCAGTGTATGTTAAAATTATGAGGTGAAAGCTTCCATGAAGGTAAAAACAGAAAACAGATAATCTGCTTTCTTCTATTTACCCTACTCAGACACTTATTTCAGGGCTAGAGATACAGCTTTCCCAGATTTCTTATGTCTCACACTCAATGGTTTATCTTTTTTCTTTTTTTTGTCGATTTTATTTTGGGGTCACCTGAGTGGCTCAGTTGGCTAAGCACCTGTCTTCAACTCAGGTCCTGGGATCGAGCCCTGCGTCATTGGGCTCCCTGCTCAGCGGGGAGCCTGCTTCTCCCTCTCCCTCTGTCTGCTGCTCCCCCTGCTTGTGAGCTCTCTCTGTCAAATAAAATCTTAAAAAAATATATTTTATTTTTTTAAGTAATCTCTACATCCAATATGGGGCTTGAACTCATGACCCCAGGATCAAGGGTCACATGCCCTACTGACTGAGTCAGCCAGGTGCCCCTTAATGGTTTATCTTAAGGAAGTGTAGATTGGGTTTGGGTTCATGATGGCAGCGACAAGTTATGCCATTTGCAGGATAAAACATCTGCATGTTTTAAAAATCTATAAGAATTTAAATAGTTAATTGGCTTTATGTCTCATAGAAGTTGCATCCTGGCTTGTTATCTGCCAATCATATATTTCCTTTACTTTTGTGGGTTCTTTACCTCAGCATTGTCTAAAATTTAGGCAGGTTACAAACCTCAGCAAAGACAAGTCTTTAGTTATCTTTACCAAAAACTCTTAAATACAATTATGCAAATAATGGTCAAATCCCACTACAGCAAATGTCAGTACAATGGAAAAGCTCTCCAGAATAAATTCTTCCAAACTTGGTTAATCTATCATATCTTGGTGGTCAACCAGATATTATAATGTCTCCTAATGTGAGACAATATGCAGTTCCCAATGGTACCTCAAATGTATTATAGCTGAAAATGTTTAAACTGAATCCATCAAACCTCCGGATCTAACTTTCAGTTTACTAGTAATACCAGAGATAGAGAGATAAGGTAAATGATGCCATTTCTAAATCCAGAAGGTGGATATTCAGCAGGACAACTGGCCTAGTTTTTCAATTTGTCAGCATTATGGAAAAAAAGTGAAAACAAAACACTGCTAGGTTTAACAAATGAAAGGATAGAACAACCAGATGAAATTTGTGGCCCTGGGTTGGATTATGACTTGAAAAAAATAGCTTTAAAGAACATTTTGGGGGGTGCCTGGCTGGCTCAGTCAGAAGAGTGTGTGACTCTTGATCATGGGGTCGTGAAACTGAACCCCACATTGGGTGTGGAGATTACTTAAATAAATAAAACTTACAAAAAGAGAATATTTTGGGACAACTGGGGAATTCTGAATACGGACTTACAAGATAAAATGAAAACATACTGATATGGAAAGATGTAGATAATGTTAACTGAAAAAAGATAATGAAATAGTATGTATAATTTGCTATCATTTAAGTAAAATGTGCATATATGCAAAGAAAAAGGTCCGGAAAAATATACAATAAGATGTTAACAGTGGCAATCTGCCGGTGGTACAAATAAGGCATAAATATGGTTATACAATAAAAAGTTTTCTGGCTTGTATTTTCTAACTGCCTTTTTTTTTTTTTAAGTTTATTTATTTAAGTAATCTCTACATTCAACTTGGGGCTCGAACTCACAACCCTGAGATCAAGAGTCATGTGCTCTTCCGACTGAGCCAGCAGGGAAAGCTGTTTGTTTGTTTTTTTTCCTTTTTCTAACTGCTTTTTAATAATAAAAGGTTATTTTAATTTTAGAAATCTCTTGGAGAAACCTGTCATTTAAAGGAATGTTTTCAAAAGGAGGGAGTTATCTCTTAATTTACTTGTTTTATAAAATGGAAATATTTTTAAGCAAATTCTACCCCCAATGTGGGGCTCGGACTCACAACACTGAGATCACTAGTTGCATGTTTTATTGACTGAGCCAGCCGGCCAGGTGCCCCTATAAAATGGATTCTTAAAAAAGATTTATTTATTTATTTTAAAGAGAGCCCACACATGCATGTGCAAGTGGGGGGAGGGGCAGAGGAAGAGAATCTCAAGCAGATTCTCTGCTGAGAGTGGAGTCCCACATGGGGCTTGATCCCACGACCATGAGATCATGACCTGAGCCAAAACCAAGAGTTGGATGCTAAACCAACTGAGCCACCCTGAAATTGATTTTTATAGTTAATATAGGACTAGGGCCCATGCTAGAATTTGGGACAGTAACCCTAAAGTTTGTTACATCAGCACCTGACTATAATTACATACATATTTTCTCATCCAAACTATGTAACAATTCATACCAAAAGAGTAGAGATAAATGTTTATTTAGTTTTATTTTTTTAAAGATTTTATTTATTTGAGAGATAGCATGAGAGTGAGAGAAATCACGAGAGGTGAGGAGGGAGGGGCAAAGGGAGAGGGAGAAACAGACTCCCCACTGAGCATGGAGCCCGGCAGAGGAGTGGGAGGGGCTCGATCCCAGGACCCTGAGATCAGGACCTGAGCTAAGGCAGATGCTTAACCAACCGAGCCACCCAGGTGCCCCTTATTTAGTTTTGTTTAAACCCTGGGCAACTCCTGGAGGTCAAGAGCTCTGAGAATACTCACCATTCCCATAAGCCCAGTCATCATTCATGCGGTGGCGCACTTTCTGATAGATGGCTGACATGGTTTTCATGTTACTTTTCCTCCACTGGCGCCCCAGGTACTTGGTCTGTATTTTTAGCAGCTTCAGAACATAAAGTTGCAGCATGGCCTGTTTGACCTTGAGGGCTCGCTTTAAGATTGGAGCTGATTTGAATACCACCAGCATCTACCCATTTAAAGAGGGGTGAGAGTGAAGAAAGGCAGATAAGGATCTAAAGTTTCTTGGAACTTCCAACTCACAAACAAATTAAGCCAAACCTGACTGGTCTCAATGCCCTGGGGGAGCTTTTGGGAATCTATGGTTCAGGTTCTATTTATATTTAGATGTCACAATTATATGTCACAATTCAAAGTTTCTAATATTCAAAGTATGTGATATAAAGAGCAAAATAATTATGTCAAACACACATCCCATTTCTACTGTTATCAGTTTCTTATGTATCTTCTGGGTACATAATTCTATATACACATATATTATTTTTATTAACAAAAACCACAGCCAACTACATATCCTGGCACATTGTTCCATACCTTGCTTTTTATTTAACAATATATCTTAAAAATTATTCTGTATCAATATAGAACTGCCTCATTCCTTTTTTTTCCTGCCTCATTCTTTTTAATGGTTGTATAATATTCTATTATAAGGATGTACCAAAATTATTTAACCAGTTGGTCCTGTATTAATAGGCTTTAGATCGTTTCCAATCGTTCATGATTCATGCTGCAATGAATAATCTTAGACTTGCATCATTTGGGATGTGTGTTTGTAATCCAAACAACAATGCTAACTTTCTAACCAGAGCGGCCCTGTGGGAGGGTCCATATTCAGCTCCTTGTAAAGAAATGGACTGGTGAATAATTATCTCATATAGATTAAATACCCAGAATTAGGTGTTCACCTTATGTAGCATTCATTGTCTATCTAGAGAGCTCACAAAGCAGGAAGTCCATAAATATTTAAGATTAAAAAAATTCGGTCAGATGGACACCTCTATGATCTGAAGCCCCACTCACCATGGTTCTGGAATGCTTCCATTTGGTCAGTTTATTGAGCAGCCTCAGAAGGTTAATGCAGGAAAAGAGGTTCCTCCAACAGAACTGGTTGTTGTCTCCAGCTTCCTGTAATAAGGCAGGCCCACCATTACCTCAATACCTATAAGGCTTTCATTCCCACAGAAGCCTGGAAGTCACCACTGGTCAGTTTAGGTGAGGCCTTCCTTATGAAATGCTACCTCCTCACCATTCTGCTCTTCACACACTAAGGTCTCAAAGCATGCAATATTCTTCATATGAAAACACACAGCTGCCAACCCTGGATGGCTGCACCTAGAGCAAGTACTGATTAGAAAGAGGATACATGAACATAGGAACTTCACTCAAGCAAGCCTTCTTGTGTAAGTTCCTGCTTTAGAATCAGAAAAGAGGTGATAGAATTTTACCCCCATATAGCTTGTACTTATATAAGCTGTGTTTGTAACTGCTAGGAGTTATTCTGGTAGATCCTTTCCCTTCCTTTCCCTTCCCTGCCCTTCCCTTCCCTTCCCTTCCTTTCCTTTCCTTCCTTCCTCCCTTAAGTAGGCTCTACACCCAACGTGGGGCTTGAACTCACGACCCTGAGATCCGGTCACATGCTCTGCTGATTGAGCCAGCCAGGTGCCCCTGTTCTGGTAGATTTCAAATTATGTTGGATGGATCTGATATTCATTATGATCGAATTTTTTAAATCATCCTCCACCCTCCTTTATCAAACCCTATTGCAGTAAACTACCTAATTCTCCAGCGTGGAAGCAAAAATGGCAGATGGTAAATTCTAACCAGGTGTTTTTCTTGTATGTTTATTGATAGCTTGTGAGCACCCAACCAGAGATAACAGATGGATGTCAGTTTAGAAACAGGTATCTACTCACAGAAACATCTTTCAGGGACAAAAATAAGAGCCCTTCTGGATTTAGGGGCCTGTAAATATACTGAAGTCAGAAGCTATATAAATCAATGAGCATACCTGGTGGCCAAATTAACATCTTGGAAATTCCTCATGCCTACAATTTGATAGGAGGATGTAAGAGTAGGAGACAATGTGTAGAAGTGAGCTGTTGTCTGAAGAATGGAAAATTACCCCCTCCTTTCCCAAATCAAATTAATCCAAAGCAAGCAAGACAGACCTACATCTAATGTGGAATGAACATCCAGGATTTTTGAGACTATTAGGCTCTACTAAGAAATAAATAAGACTAAAGGTAAAAAAGTTTCAGGGAAACTTTTTAGAAATATTATTAGAAAAAATGTTCTCCTTTCTGTAGTAAATGTTCAATATTGTGTTTAGAACTAGTCCCCGGAGAACCATCTGTTTCCTTCTAAGAGAAATTTCCATGGGAGTTTCCACTCTAGTGCATCAGCTAGTCAGCTTGCCCAAAAGAGATAGGTTCTACAGATAGGTTCTACAGATGTTCCATCTTATGTGGCTAACAGAGGAATGGACTTTTATTTTTTTTATTTTTTAATTTTTTAAAGATTTTATTTATTTATTTGAGAGAGAGAATGAGAGAGAGAGCACAAGAGGGAAGGGGATCAGAGGGAGAAGCAGACCCCCTGCTGAGCAGGGAGCCCGATGTGGGACTCGATCCCGGGACTCCAGGATCATGACCTAAGCTGAAGGCAGTCGCTTAACCAACTGAGCCACCCAGGCGCCCAGAATGGACTTTTAAATGTTTATTTTTTTTAAAGAAGCAGAGGAAACAGAGAACATATGGGGGAGGCTATGTATATCTCCACTGTGAGCTTCCTTTATCCTGATTTTTAATATAATAGCAGCAGCGAGAGCCTTGCATTCCTTAGCACCTCAAAAAATAACATTGGAGGGATGTCTCCTGGCTCAGTCGGTATAGCATGCGACTCTTGCTCTCAGGGTCTGAGTTCAAGCCGCGTGTTGGGTGTAGAGCTCACCTTAAAACAAAAAACAAAACAAAACAAAAAAATGGGAGTAGGGGTGTGGCTTGTAGAAGCAGCACTGGAGTAGACACTAGGAAACCTGGATTATGGCTTTGACCCTGGTTGTATGATGGTAGATAAGTCATTTCTCTGTTTCTTGTAAGAGGTTGAATTAGATAATCTTTAAGATCCTTTCACCTCTGATCATTTAATAGTACTGTGATTTATCTCAACTTTCTCCAATTGATTCAAAAGTGCAAAAGTGAAGTTTTAAGTGAATGTTAGATGATCGTGGTGGCTTTTTCCTCAAAGCTCAGTCTCAGGAGTCCTAGGAAAAACACCCTAGTTCCCTCCTGAAGATAGTCTCATGTGCCCAGGGCCTTGCTCTCTCTTTTTTTTTCTGATAATGCTTCCCTACCAACTAAAACTAGCCCCACTTCCCACATCCCCAGATGTTGCCTGAAGTGGGCACTGACAGAACACATGCTTGTCCATGGCTGTCTCAGGATAGCGGATCCCAGGCTTGTTGTCAGTTTGCAGCAACGTGCTCTACATGGAGCCCTGCTCAAGCCTTCTGCCTTCTTCCAACCCAACACATAATCATTTTCCAGCAGACCTTTAGGTCCATGGGGTGCCTTTTCAGATTTGCCAGACTTGAGGGGTTTTTTATTTGTTTATGTTCATTTAAGGCAAATTGCCTGCTTTCTCTTTTTTGGGGAGGGCAGGACTCAGCATATTGAGTAAAATGTAAACTTCTGTAGGGGGATATATCTTGTGAACAGCAGCATTTGGCCATATTCTCTTGTGTCTGATACTTTACACTATCCAAAGCAAGACCTTTACTCACTTTCTACCAGTGCAAGTTGAAAGAAGAAAACATTTGCCCACGTTCCACTTGCATACATAAACATTTGTTTACAAAAACAATCCCATTTACAACTGTACCAAAAATAATAAAATACCTATGAATAAACTTAACCAAAGAGATGAAAGACCTGTACTCTGAAAACTATAAAACAATGATGAAGAATTAAAGAGGACACAAAGAAAGGGAAAGGCATTCCATGCTCATGGATTGAAAGAATATTATTAAAATGTCTATATTACCCAAAGCAATCTACAAATTTAATGCAATCCGTATCAAAAAACCAACAGCATTTTTCACAGAACTAGAGCAAATAATATTAAAATTTACATGAAACCACAAAAGACCCTGAATAGTAAAGACATTTTGAAAAAGAAAGACAAAACTGGGGGTATCACAATTCCAGACTTCAAGTTCTATTACAAAACTGTAGTAAGCAAAACAATATGGTTCTGGCATAAAACAGACATATAGATCAATAGAACAGAAGAGAAAACCCATAAATAAATCCATAATTATATGGTCAATTAATCTTTGACAAAAGAGGAAAGAATATACATTGGGAAGAAGTCTCCTCAACAAATGGTGTTGGGAAAACTGGACAGCTACATGCAAAAGAATGAAACTGGACCACCTTCTTTCACCATACACAAAAATAAACTCAAAATGGATAAAAGACCTACATGTGAGACCTGAAACCATAAAAATCCTAGAAGAGAGCACAGTCAGTAATTTCTCTGACATCAGGCCATAGCAACATCTTTCTAGATATGTCTCCTGAGGCAAGGGAAATAAAAGCAAAAATAAATTATTGGGACTACATCAAAATAAAATCTTCTGCACAACAAAGGAAACAATCAAAACTAAAAGGCAACCTATGGAATGGGAGAAGATATTTGCAAATGACATATCCCACAAAGGGTTAGTATCTAAAATATATAAAGAACTGATACAACACCCAAAAAACAAATAATCCAATTAAAAAATGGGCAGAAGACATGAACAGACATTTCTCCAAAGAAGACATCCAGATGGCCAACAGACACATGAAAAGATGTTCGATGTCACTAATCACCAGGGAAATGCAAATCAAAACTACAATGAGATAGGGCACCTGGGTGGCTCAGTTGGTTAAGCGACTGCCTTCGGCTCAGGTCATGATCC